AAATTCCTTGTGAAGGACTTACTCTATGTGCCCAGAACAGTCTATCGCATTCTGACGAGGACAATGAGTCCTATCAAAGGCCACGACTCATCTGATGAGGAAATAGTTGGCATCATGAAGAATCCGCTATTCAACATCATTCGTAGCATTCCTGTTAATTACTATGATTTCTTCATGATGACTCTGGCAAATGTTGCACTCTCTCCATTTGAGTTGAAGCCTTATGCTCCTTGGATTATGAGATTCCTCAGAACAAGGTATTCACTCAACTACAAGGCTGATTTTCAGAATCACCCCAGCTATCTGCCCCCGATTGAAGTCCTCAAGCAGACTTATACCTCAACTGATGAAAAGGGGAAGAAACCTGTTGTCATTGATGAAGGCATTCGTCCATTGGATGGTCAGTTTCGCAAAGCTGCATCTTATTCCATCAATCATGACTCTGCCACTCATGACTCTGCTGCAAATGCATCCAAGTCAAATCCTCAAGCCACAGCTCCCAGGGTGATGACTGGCCGTGAGCTGCTTCTTAGTCTTCACCAGAAGGTGGATCGCAACCATAAATGGGTTAAGCGTCAGTTTGGTTCAATTCTTCACAACATGACTGCTACACATAATGCAGTGAAGAAAAACCATTACTACCTCCATGAAGTTTTCGGTCGCACCTGGGCTGTCTTATCACATCTGTATGGTGAAGAAGATCTGAAGCAATTGGGTCTCAAGGAAAACTTTGACTAGTCTGCACCTCCACCGAAGAAATTCAAGAAGGTCAAAGTTCCTACCTTGGTGGCCAGTTTATATTCTTCATCCCATGACACCGACGAGTATGAAGACTTGGACGACACTACGGCAGGCCCTACAACAACAAACGACCCCAACAACGCTGGCGCTCCTCCATCAACTTGATATTCTTCAGGGGCGTTAGTCCTCATTTTCCATCCTTTTGGTCATTTGATGACAAAGGGGGAGAAATTTGAGTTAGTCTTCAAGCGGGTCTACCTATATGGGCGTTTTTTAAGTTACAACTCTCGTTCTTTTGAAGACTTTATTGGATCGAGTTGTAATCTTAAACTCTATGGTGGTCTGATACTTGTGCTGAGTCTTTCTGCATGCTTGTTCCTCATTAACGTTAATGCTCGCATGCTGAATTACATCAGTCACCATATTTCATCATGCATTTCAAATTCTTCATATTATATGTTAAATGTGTGTATGAATAACAATATATAGGGGGAGATCTCCATGATTCTACTCTTCAAAGTGTGCATTGCTTCAAAAGCAAATTCCTCTCTATGCACATCTTCAAGGGGAGTTCCTCTATATCTTGCAATCAAATTTCTCAATATCAATATTTACACTTCATATGTTTATCCCCGTTAAAAACTTAACCTATATTGTCATCAATCATCAAAAAGGGGGAGATTGTAAGTGCATCTAGTGCCCTTTAGTGATTTTGGTGTATTGAAGACTTATAGGTTAAGAGACCGATGCGTTTGTGAGTGTACACAGGTCTATAAGTATATGAGGAGTTTTATATTTACAGAGAAAGTCGACCCCTAAAAATGAAGTTCTTCAACTGAAGACGTTGGATTTCTGAAGACTTTCTGAAGACTTTGAAAGTAAAGAAATTGATGTAATCCTGAAGACTTGGTATTCATTCGACGAACATGAAGCATGAAGACTTTTATTTTCATAGTTTCATTTTCTCTTTCTTGAGTCATAGGAAACACCGTACTGTTAAAGGGGGTCGAGGAAATACTAAGGAAAAATTTCAAAGTGATGCTCAACTCAAAATCCTACACCTACCAACCCCTTCCAGTGAAGCCATTGGAAATCTCATACAGTTCAGTCAATTCCTTCAGTGACAGAGACGAAGTTCTTCTGGTCTCTGAGGAATTTGTTCTGATTGAGGAGTTAGGAATTCGCCAGTGCGGATTGCCTACACAGTGAGGAACATGATAGCCCTGAGGAATTTGATACTCAATTCTGACCGTTGTTGTGCTATGCGCCAGCTATCCCAAAAATATCTACCCACCTAACGGTCATATCATTGAAGGGCATTTATGTCTTATCATGTCGGGCTGCTCCCTAGGCTATAAATAACCGCCCCCTATAACCACTAGCTGGTTGGCTGCTCCGAGAGAAACTGACACTTGTCATTTGAGAGTATCCCATCCTCCGAGGACTTTGAGTGAAAATCATCAAGTGAGGAAAAACCAAAACCAAACACCTACAAACCCCAAGTGATTGAGCATCACTAAAGAGATTGATCCCGCGTGGATCCGACGCTTGTTACCTTTGAAGACTGTGCATATTCCAGACGGTTAGGTGTCATGGTCTAGAGCATCCAAGAGGAAATTATGGATCGCCGAGTGACCGAATCTGTGAAGGTTTGGAAGTCACCTGAAGATTTACCACGAGTGATTGGGCGAGGTCTGTGTGACCTTAGCTCAAGGAGAATACGGTGAGGACTAAGTGTCCTGAGCTGCGTGTTCAGGACTGGGTGTCCGGAACTGTGTGTCCTCAGGTTTAAATACCTAGCCGCCCTAACCAGACGTACAACTGTCACAACAGTTGGAACCGGTCTACCAAATCATTGTCTTCACCGTGCTAACTGGTTCCATTTCCTCAACCCTTCCATTTCCTCTTATCTGTGTTGTGTGCTTGTTTATATCTGTTTGAAGACTTTGACTAAAGACTTTCTCTATTTCCTCAGTTTAATTTCTTCAGTCTGTTTGTCTTATCCTGTGTTTACGCTTTCTGTACTCTGTGCTTGTTTTCATTTCTTCATGAAGACCATGCTCATACTCTGTTATGTTTACTTCTGAGTACTTATTCCGCTGCAAGTAGTTCTTCACTTAGGAATTTCCTCACTTTGAAATTCCTCAGTGAAGAATTCATAAAAATCACCTATTCACCCCCCCTCTAGTCGATATAACGCACTTTCAGCCTTCAACAAGGTAACGATGTAAAACATCGCCATTGCCAGGTATACCCAACTCGGGCTAGACCTACACTTTCACCCCGGAGCTCGAGACCAGGTGCTCAAGTAGCACCATCATCGAAGTCATTCATGGTTGTCGCCACCGCTTTTTCACGATCCCAGCAGCTACATGCGATGTGACCATCGCCGCCGCACAACCATCCCTCTGCATAAGACTTCATCCATAGATTGCATCTCGCCGCCGAAGCCAACCACCGGATATGCAGAGATGAAACTCACAAAAAGATCTTTCGATGGCAACCGCAATCAGCAAGGCATGGGCTGCAACTAGTCAACGACCGTCTCTGCACGCTTGTGCACATCTCAAGCGGCCATTGTATGCAGCATCCATGCACCAGCCCCCTATGCTTGTCTTGATCGTACTCCTAGCCATGGACACCAAACCAGATCGAAAGACCGAAATCACCGGCTGGCAACCAGATCGGGAGGCACCAAGCCATGGACATGATCTAGACCAGAAGGCCGGCAATTACCAGCGAACTGAGATCGGGAGGCCGGCAATGCACAGTGGCGACACAGACGGCCAGATCAGGAGGCAGTCATCAAGGAAGATGGAAAAAAACCGGGCCAAAAACCGGACCATCTCTGCACGCTTGCTTCACACCATACCCCCATGTTTCAATGGTCGAACCATTTGATACCAATGACAACCAGTTTCGTTTGATCTACTGGCGTCACTCGCAACCTTTGCAACAAACACCATGTTGCGCTCACTTGCTCTGCAACATGGGCTAAGTTGCAAAGGGCGAAGACGGCCGCGAGCCGTCCGATGAACAACAGATCCGACCGCAGAGTCGGTCGACGCGTGCAAACGCTAACGTGCTACACATTGACAGAGTATAAACTTTGGCCAAAACCAAACACACCAACAGTTATAATCTTACTAACAAATTACAGTCCACAAAGGGGCGGCGCTTGCGTGCTCCCACCCCCTCCTGCCCTAGAAAAACGGTGTTTGTTTAGTTTAGTGCGCCCCTCGCAGAAAAACACATGACGGGAAGAATAGAAAAGTAGGGTACCATCAACCATGGGTGTCGTCAATCATCATACTCCTACTCCGACTCGTTGTGCGGCTTCTAGAGGCTCCGTCCGTGTGTATATGTACAGCGCGGGCGGCCTGATCCCTCCCCAACATCCATCCGCCGTCGCTGTCAAATTGTGGATCGAGCGAGCGGAGGCCTTGCCGTCTAGAGCCTCGCTTCGCCGCACGGCACAAAAAGGGGAGCGCCAGCCCGCCCAGCCGCGCTGCCCTCCTCCCCTCCACACGTCTCTGCCCCCTCCCACCCCCCGCCGCCGACGCAGCTCATCCCTCTCCATCTCCTCCCCTCGCCCGCCAATCCGCGCTCCCCCGGCCCGTCCCTGCCCTACGCGCCCGGCGCCGCCCCGCCCCTCCCCGCCCTGCCCTGCTCCGCGCAGCAGACGCAGCGCAGCACAGCACAGGTACGGCTCTGGTTGCTTCGCGCCCCGAGGCGCGGGTCCTCTGAGTGGGTTTGTCTGTGTCCGCGTGGGTTTGATCTGAGCGGTTTGGTTTGATGCGCGCAGGTGGTTGGTTGATTCATGGCCGCCAGCGTGCGGGAAGGTGCGGCGGCGGCGGCGGCTGCGGGGCACGCGGCGGACGATTACGACGTCTCGGACGGCGAGATGGACGTCGACGTCGAGGCCGGCAGCGAGCTCCAGCACGCCGGCGACGACCGGAGGGACGGCGACGGCGACGGCGACGACGAGTACGCGCTGGTGGGTAACCATCCTTCTGGGTTGATGTCGCGGTGGTGTTGGTGGTTCCGCCGCTTGTTTTCTCTGAATCGCGAATCTGAGCCTGCGCCTGCTAGTCCGCTTCCGTTATTTGATTGATTGATTGATTGGCTGTCCGAGGTTCCTTTCTCTTCATAGTATGATTCGGAGTCGAGCGTGGTATTGTTTAGGGTGTTCAGGAGTTTATTATCAGTGGCTTGCCTGTCCTTGTTAGTGCAGCGGCTGGTTCTTCAGAAAAAGAATCATGGGCACAATTAGGTTCGTCCTGAAATCCGATCGCGGTGGCAAGTTCGCAGTGCCGCGGTTTCAGCTTAGTTTTCTAGTACTAGTATGTTTACCACTTCTACCTGGTGGGTGAGAGTTATCCGTTTTATAAGTTAAAAGTCGCTGTAGTTTGCTATGCTATGACAAAGTAGAGAAACATAACTTGCCATCAACAGAAGAACTAGTATATATTCTAAAAAAGAACCACTATATTATGCGAGGGGCGCAATCACTCATTTTAAACATGCGTGTGTCGCGAGAGGAACCTTAGTCCAGTGATTATGCTCAAAAGGGTGCGGAAAGGCTACTTTTAGACCGGGGCTAGTTTACAGTGCTGATTTTTTCCTCACCTAGTCTTTGGGTGCTGAATTCAATATTTATGATAAGGGGGTGACTTGATGTCAATGGTGCTTGTGGAGCAGATTGGTATCGCCCAATCATCCAGCTCGAATTTGCTACTTGTGTTTATCTCCAGCCAATAATGATCTGGCTCACCATTCCCTGTAACGTCGTTTTCACAAGTGGCGTACACTGCATAATTTTCAATGCCCCACTTTGCCGGGCGTTGTAGATGCGATGTTTCAGTGCCTTTTGAATTGGCTAAGACCAAAGAGCATAAAACATGACTTTCTACTAGAAAAAAAAGGATCCGTGTCTTTGGCCTTGTTGATTATTCAACTGCTGAATAAAAATTAGCGCATGGGGCCGCCATGTTTTGGCGTATGCATGAGAACTATTTATGTGGCCGTACCTGAGTCTATCTAATCATCAAGATCACGACATGGTTGAATAAATTGTGACTGATGTAGCTCATTAAGGATAAATAATTGCTTTAAAAATACTTTGTGTTATTTTTCCCTTTTGATATTTTAAAGGCTTGGCGAAATTATAATATTGTTCAGGCCTAGTATTTTCCGGTGCTTATATAAAAATATCTTAGTATTAAGCTAAAGCGTATTGATATTTGACTATTTTCTACAGCTCACTAGGATAACTGACACGTCAGCAGCTGAAGCAAGGGCAGGAAAGGATATACAAGGTATACCATGGGAGAGGTTACAAATCACCAGGCAGGATTACAGAAAAGCTAGGTTGGAACAGTACAAGAACTATGAGAACTTCCCTCAGTCCGGAGAGCTCATGGATAAGGTCTTAATTAATATCAATTGTATCTGTCAATGTTTACTCTGTTTTCTAGATGATCAAATTTCCTAAAAGGATCCTCTGAAATGTTAATAGTTGTGCAAGCAAGTGGAGAGCAGCAGCAAGTACTATGAATTTCAATACAACACTCGGATAGTGAAACCCTCAATTCTCCATTTTCAGGTTAGTTGTGATCTGTCTTCTGTTTAATGCAGGATTTGTAGTATGGCATACTTGTTACATCCATTAGCATTACATTATATGGACTTCCGTTTTCCTTCTTCCGCATTAGCATTTATTGTGCTTTCTTTGCAAAGTTCCGTGTCTTATCTGTATCCATATCAACAAGAAGTCTGAAAAGATAACTTAGTTTCCTTTTTTTGTGGGATCTCTGGTTTAAGGGTTCCACTAGAATGTTTTAACTTTATAAATTGTACTGCAGCTTTGAATTAAATGCTGCAGTGGTTACATAGAGTTTCGCATGAAACTGTTAAAAGGATTATAACCCTGAAAATGGGCAATGGAGGTTATTGTGGATTTATAAAGCACTGGTTGATTTGGAACATAGCTGGATATCTGTATCAATTATGTTAACTCAGCTCAAGGCCCGTGATGCAAATACAAAGTTATTCCACCTCCGTGCAATGGGTGGCAGCGCAAAAATCATATTCCTTTCCTCCACTCGGGCACCTCTGTGGTATCTGATCATAGAGATAAAGCTGATTTGCTCCTCAACCACTTCTGTTTGCTTCCTGGCATGAGTGAGGGCAGAGCCTTCCAACTCGATGGCGATTTCCTGCAGCTGCCTAGGGCAAATCCGAGTCACTGAGACCCTCCTTTCACCATGGATGAGCTCAAGGTGGCCATTAAGGATATCCCTTCTGAAAAAATCCCTGCCCCTGTTGGTTTTATAGGTTTATTCTTCAAAAAGTGCTGGAGCATTATCAAGTTCGACCTCCTCAGTGCTCTTAACCAGCCGTTTGCAGTTAATGTCCAACATTGGAATTTGCTGAACACTGCTCACGTTGCGCTTATGCTGAAGAAATTGCTGACCTGCTGATTATAAACAGATCAGTTTATTGCAAAGCGTGATGAAGGTTCTCAGAAAATTGCTTGCCCTACGCCTTGCCCCTTAGCTGAATGATCTTATCTCTCCATGTCAAATTGCTTTCCTTAAGAGATGCATCCAGGGCAATTTCCTACATGTACAGAACCTGATTCACACCTAAATCAGACCGAATCAAAGCCTGCCCTCTTCCTCCTCAAGCTGGATATTGCAAAAGCCTTTGATTCGGTCTGATTTAGGTGTTTTTCTAGCGAGTCCTGGTAATGGGCTAGACGGTGTATTTTTTTTAAGCCTTTGATTCTGTCGGTTTCAAGGCGCAGTTTGGATTCGGGCAGAAGTGGAGAGATCTTATTGCTGTATCTTTGGCTTCCACCTCTTCCTGTGTCCTCAACGGTGTACCTGGCATTCCTTTCCTGCATTGACTACCTCCGCCAGGGTGACCCTTTGTCGCCTCTCCTATTCTTGATATTGCCATCGAGCCGTTGAAGATCCTCAAAAGGGTGACGAACGATGGAATTCTGAGTCAGCTGTCCAGCCGCCATGCAAGGTTCCGTGTTAGTATCTGTGCTGATGATGTCGCCTTGTTCATCAACCCTGTGAGAAGCGAGGTGGATGCCCTGCACTCTGTTCTTGCTGCTTTTGGTGATGTTTCCGGCCTGCGGACAAGTTTCTCAGAATCAACTTCCTTCCATATCCACTGCCCCAACCTGGATATCAATGACACTTTGGCATCCTTCTTGCGTGATCTGGGCTCCCTGCCCTGTTCCTATCTCGGGCTGCCTAGTACTAGGTAACCCAGTAAATTTCAGATCCAACCTGTCCTCTACATTGGCTGCTAAGCTTGCGTGATGGAAAGGAAAGCTTACGACTAAGGCAGGTTGTCTGGCTTTGATAAACTCTGTTTTCACCTCCATCACCACCTACTTTATGACCATTTTCCAGCCAAGCAAGCGGGGTTTCAAGCGTTTTGACAAAATCGGACGCAGCTTCCTCTGGTCTGGCGATGAGGAGGCAAGGGAGCTCAATTTGCTCTTGCCTAAGCAATTCGGAGGTTATCAAAAATCTGGAAAGACCGCTAAATTCTGGACTGATAGTTGGCTTAACGGTGTGTCTCCCAAACCTTGGCCCCTGGCCTGTTCATACTGGCCCGGAGGAAAAAACTTACTGTTGCAGAGGGGCTCTATGAGGGACGCTGGATGAAGGGACTTCAAAGATCGAACTCTGAACAAGGCCTTCACTCCTTTGCCCAATAATTGCATCAGCTGCAATCCGTATGTAGTCCATATAGAAATCTCTAAAAAGACTTATATTTAGGAACGGAGGAATGGAGGGAGTATCAATCTTTGCCCACAGCCGGATTCAATTCTCTGGAAATGGACTGAAGATAATACCAACACCGCCTCCTCAGCTTTCTTTATCAATTGTACGGCATGATTCCAAGGCCTGAACTCTCCAGAATCTGGCAACTCAAGATGGAGCCCAAGGTGATTTTTTTTGGCTATCTGGCATCTGCACCGGATTGGTTACTAATGGTGGATCACCTGCAAGCCCAGGGTTGGCCACATGGTGATTGGTGTGCCCTGCACGACCAAATTCTTGAACCTGCGGTGCACCTATTCTGTCTGTGCCCTTTCTTTAGGAAAGTCTGCCACCTGACCTGTCGCAAGCACCCGAACCTGAGGCCTAGGATTTCTTATCTTCAGCGCTTGATGTCATCTTGGTGAAGCGCTTTAGCTTCTGGTCCTAAGAAGGCTGCGGTGACGACGTCTTTTGCTGCTTGGCATATCTGAATGAGGGCAATAAAATTATGTTCTCCAACCAAACCCTTAATCTCCACACCAGGTTGGTTGCCTCATGGAGGAAAGCCTCCAGTCTGTAACTGGCCCCTTGCACAAACAGTGTTTATCCCTTGTACATGCAGCACACTTGTTTAGCAATTGGTCTCTCCGACTCTTGTGCTCTTGCACCTGTACATACACTATCCGCTTATAATCTATAATGCAGCAGCAGAACTCCTGCCAGTTACAGTAAAAAATGATGTAAACTCAATGTGTTTGTCTGCATTGTATTATATCTGCCTCATTCTCTACTGAAGATCAGGCCAATTAGATGCATCTAGTCATATGATTCTTAATGCTGCTCACACTGATCAACCCTTTTTTTCCTTGTAGCTCCGGAATTTGTTATGGGCAACTTCAAAGCATGATGTTTATTTCATGTCGAATTCCACAGTAGGCCACTGGTCGTCATTGTCTCACAAAATGACAGATGTTCTTGATTTCTCAGGGCATGTTGCTCCAGCAAAGGTTTTCCTCTTTTAAAGTTCCTGGTGCTTCCTTCTGATCAGTTACTCTTATTTTTTCTCCCTAGTTTGACGTTCTGTTTGTTGATTTATACCGATTATGCAAGTAACCTATATTAATTTGTTGGTTACACAGAAACACCCTGGCTGTGCACTAGAAGGGTTTACTGGCGTTCAAGTTAGCACACTTGCAGTAAATGAGGGTTTGTTGGTCGCTGGTGGTTTTCAAGGAGAACTAGTTTGCAAGGTAAGGTGTTAGGCAGTGTTACTATTACTGTAACCTCCACTTGAATTCTATATCTGCTGCATTTTGTTTTCTTCCAATTTTCTTCTATTTGTGCTAAGTATTTTATATCGGAAGTTACAAAATGGTCAGAAAGCATCCTTATGCCTGTTGAAATAAAGGTTTTTGTTATATTTTATAGGAATATAATCCTCTAGAAAATTTCCCTATGAAGTTCTTTTTGTGATTGTTGGATTAGCTTTGAAAAAATCCTATATGAACTCTTCCTTCACCTTTGGAGAGTTTGAAACATCTAGTCAACCTCATGTTTTCAGTAAGAAGTTCAACCTCTTCTTTCTCTAGTCAAGAAGTATTTGCCTGTAAAGTTCAGGTGGACCTTCCAGACAGATATTTTAACTCCCGTAAAAAATCCAGGAGACATGATATCCAATTCCTGTGGTTTTACTATTTTTACGTCTTTCCACTCTGCATTCTAAACTGGTCATATCTCCCTTCTGTTGTTAGGCTGACATATACTCCCTTAGTATATAGGCAGCAGAGTAGGAATGAGAAACAAAAGAGACACTGCATAAGGGAGTAGTATATACTTATATAGGCAGCAGATTGGCCTTAGTTTCTCTTTAATCGAATACCTGATTTATATAAATGGTAAATCATGAATAGCAGGCTTACATGCTCTGCATTTCTTTGTATTTATTCAGAGTCTAGGAGAACGTGATGTTAAGTTCTGCACAAGGACTACTTTGAGTGACAATGCTATCACAAATGCTATGGATATACACAGATCTACAAGGTAAAAAATTCACTTGCAGGCCTCGCATCTGAAGTTGTAGATATTGTTATAGAAATCTGAAGGTTTGCAAAATACTCATGCAGTGGAAGCTTGCGCATTACGGTATCGAATAATGATTCTGGTGTTCGTGAATTCGACATGGAAAGATTTCAGCTCTTGAATCACTTCCGTTTTAACTGGCCAGTGAATGTAAGTTCTATCTCTTCAAGATCACATAAAGATTTCAGGTTATTGTACCTTTCTTAACCGTTCCCCTTACCTGTCGTTTCCCCAATGACAGCACACATCTGTGAGCCCGGACAAGAAACTTTTGGCAGTAGTTGGAGATGACCGGGACGCTCTTCTTGTTGATTCACGAAATGGCAAGGTATTTGGCTAGTTGTATATGCTTGTTATCAGCCATTGTCTTTTGTAGGTATCTCAGATTTTATTATGTTGGTTTAATTTTATTATTGGCTCCTTGCATTACTAATAAAGTGAGATGTAATCACCTTAATTATATTTATGACTGCATTGAAAGGGTTTCTTGGTGTATTCTTTTTCTTGGACTTCCATTCCTACTGTGGAGAATGATGTACATGCATCAGTCTTCCTTGTTTCCATGCATAGGGCACTAGTCATCAGATTCTCCATTTTACCCCCCCTCCCCCCCCTGCAAGATTTTGCCAGCCGTTTATTTTTGTGAAAATCGCATATCATGGGACATACTATATCCTGGTGCAATGCCTAGTTTGAAACGCCGGTGTTTTCAATCATAAATCAACTATGCTGGTGATCCTCTTTGGAAAGATCAAAGTGGAACCAGGGAGTTGGAAGTTTGTGGCAAACAAGACTAATTGCAAATGATGTCCTAGTTTTTCTTTTGCGTTTCACCTTCTGATTGTTTTCATTATTGCATAGGGCTCTGCCCTTGATGTTTCATCTTTATGAATAAAACAGGCAGAGGCCTTGCCTCTTTTGTGAAGGAAGAAAACTGTTTTGAAGGCATTATCGTGACTGTGTTGTGTTATCTGGACAGATCAGTATTCAATTTTTCTTTCCTGTGTGCAGGTAACTTCTACCCTAGTTGGCCATCTGGACTACTCATTTGCCTCAGCATGGCACCCGGACGGTGTCACCTTCGCAACCGGGAACCAGGACAAGACCTGCCGGGTCTGGGACATCCGGAACCCGTCGACCTCCCTCGCGGTCCTGAGGGGCAACATCGGCGCAATCCGGTGCATCCGCTACTCCTCGGACGGGCGGTTCCTTCTCTTCTCCGAGCCCGCCGACTTTGTGCACGTCTACAGCGCCGCCGAGTGCTACCGGAAGCGGCAGGAGATTGACTTCTTCGGCGAGATCTCCGGGATCTCGCTCAGCCCGGACGACAAGTCCCTGTTCGTGGGGGTGTGCGACCGCGTCTACGCCAGCCTGCTGAATTATAGGATGGTACACGCCAACGGGTACCTGGACTCGTACATGTAGATGAATAAAACCTTTGTGTTTGACGGGCAAGAAAGAGCGCCAGAACTGCTGAAAATCTGAAGATCTCGCTTGGCCCGGGTGACGAGCCCCTGTTGTTCGAGGGGGCGAGATATGTCAGCGTGCTCCATTACAGGATAGTCCAGGTGTGCCTTCGGGCACCTGGACTCTGTACATGTAGAGAAAGAAAACTTGGTGCGAAGTTTAGTGTGTTCGTGTAAAGGAAGAGCGGAATTGCTTAAAATCTGCCGAACTGTAACTTTAATGAGATCAGTATGGAATTTATACCAACTTCACCTTCGAACGCAAACAGAGTCGAGTTTGAGTGAGTTGAGCTGAGGTCGGGTTAGCTCCTATAAGTTGAAGCGCCTTCAGTTAGAGTAAGGATGCAACTGTGCATTCCATGAATTATTCCGTCAGTGTACGTGAATCGTTTTCCCTCTGGAGACGGGCGACTAGAAACCCTAGCCGCGACCAGGGGAGCCGAGCCTTTCCAGTGCCGCCTTCCAGCGTCTCCCCTCAGCCGGGTGCTGTCTTTCAGCAGCTCCCCTCTGCCAACGACCTCTTGGTCTGTATTGAGGATATCTGGAAGACGGGTCATTTGTTGGGTTCGTGGTTGATGCTTGATAGGTATGATTTTTTCTCTAGTGTCTTAATTGTGTGGGGGTTGCCATATCTAGTGGGGTGGGAGATGGAGGTGTTGTACCACATGGGCTGACTTATCATGGGTTTGGGCATGTGAGTTTGTTGACGAATTATAAAGCTCACAATTTAGCTAGGCATGCTTTATTGCTGGCTCGGGGAACCCACATTTGGTTAAGCCAACCCTATCATCCTATATGTATTCCTAAGGTGACTATCAATAAAAACTTGGATGATTGTGTTAAAAAATACTGTGATTGGATGCGTCGGGGTTGTCATTCTCTCCTCCCTACCTGAAATACCACATGCCAAACCCTATATTCGGGTCTTTTCGGATCGGACAATGGCAGTGCTATAAGCTATGCTTGGTTGCATGTTCCCTATTGGCAGCATCGTCTTGGAGATGGTTCTCGCCTAAGGGATCTGTGGTTCATGGCAGTTGTTGCCTATTAGTGGCGGTTTGTGTGGCAATGATGATGGTAATGAGTGAGTTCAGAGTCACAACAAGGTTGTCGTACTCTCTTCGACTTTTGCCAGGATCGTGGTGGTATGTTTGCCGAGGAGTCGGAGCTGCGATGACATGGTTCGGATGGTGATGCTGAAAAGTGAGGGGTGGTCTAGCTCGGCAGCCCTTTGCGATGCCAAATTTGCATATTTATCTCTCATGGCTTGGCATTCGAACTTAGGGCTAGTTTTTTTGAGGCCTATGGGCTGGTTGTGGAAATAAGTTGTCCCCTCCCTTGTTTATTCTAGAGGCCATTAAGAGTTAAGTAGTAGTTTTTTAGAATAAAATTTTAGTTTGTGCTTCTAGAATAAGTTGAGAAGGGAGCAGCTAGCTTATTTCCATAACTACTCATAAGCCCAAAAGAATTGGCCCTTAGAGTTGTGTTGTTGTTGACGTGTGTGGTCGATCGTTTGGCATGGATCTATGTGTGGCGTACACGGTGAGGATTTCATCCATGATCATTAACTGAAGATAAATTTAGAGTTACATACGAGTGATAACCATCCTCGACGGTGGTGTTTCTTCTCGGTGGTGTGTGTGAGATCTTTATTTTTAGCCAGTTCGTAATGGTGGTGCCTGCCATCGTGACGGCCAGTGTGTTCGCAATGTTCTTCCGTAGTTAACCTAGTCGACAATTGTCTTATATACTACTTCTTCCACCCAATAATATAAGAATATAGTGTCAAAAACGCTATTATACCATGGGACGATGCTTTTGCCTTTGAGTTCGGAAAAAGAACTCACAGGGACCAGAGCGAGAGAAAGAAAGGTTAAAGAGAGAGAGCGAGAAAGAAAAAGGTTGTGTTTTCAACTCGCCTAGGGAAGCATACATATAGATCGAAACAAAGAAACCAACATTTTCTAGTAGACCACGCTAACAAAACTAGAAAAGGCACTAGAGCAGTCGCGATGCGCCGGCGAACCATGAACGGCAATAGCTACCGTGCCGATGCGGCGGCGGCGGCGCTCTGGTTGAGCATGGATTTGATGCGCTCCAGCTTGAGCTCCTCCCGGAACTGCCGGATGAACCGCTCGGCCCGCGCGTTCACCTCCGCCTTCTCTTCTACCTCCGCGTACGCGCGCCGCTCGACGATCTCCGCCACCTTCGCCGGCTCCCGCTTCCTCAGCTTCTCCGTCGTAGCACCCTTGGCGGCCGCCGTGGCTGGCGTTGGCTCCGGCGCCGGCGCGTCTCGCTGCCGGAACGCTACTGCTGTGCACGCGTCTCCCAAGCATCTAGACGTCTCCGTCCGCGTCTCTGCTCCTGCCTTGTCGCTCCCTGACATCGAAGCCGCTGAACGCAGTCCCGCTTCGGCTGCTGCACCAGGAGCACTCTGTGTCGACGGAGCCACCGTTGCCGTCATGCTTTCTCCGGCCGGCAGGGTCGGCTCTGGCCTCACCGCGTGCCTGATCTCCTCTCCTCCCTCTTCTTGCGACGACGTGTAGTACTCTTGCACGTGGTGGAGCTGCGACGGCGACGCCGGCGGCGTGAGGCCGCTGTCGTAGTCGTGCTCGGGCACGGAGTGGAAGGCGGCGAAGACGGACATGGAGCGGAGGCGCTCCATGACCATGGACGACGCGCTCCGGGTGAGCCTCCTCCGCCTAGCCACCTGCGCGTCGCCGCCCTGCGCCCAGGACAAGACGGCCACGGCGCCGACGACGACGTTGAAGAAGAGGAAACACGCCGCGCCGGAGCCGAGCCACGGCCAGCACCAGGCAGACTCCGCCGCCATTCTAATGAATCTTTTACAGGTATGGAGGCTTTCCAGCGAGATGGAGATACACTGGTGGTGATCGATGAGTAGATGGTGAAGACTGAGGAATGAAGTGAGGAGTCAGAAGCACACTTAGTGTGGCGTATATGTAGTACACTAGCTAGGCGTGTACAGCGACAGCTGCTTTAAGCTTTGTTGAGATGATGAGCACGTATAAACCATAAACTATAACGAGTACAAAGAAAGAATACGCGTACGTACAAAAGCTAGCTCCGTGGTTGTTAAAATGTTGAGCACGTGTACTTCATGAAATTGGGGCCATTATTCAACTCCAATTGGTTTGGTTGCTTCATCAACCAGCAGCCTGCGAGAACATTCCCCGCGGATTTGACTACGGTTAATTGTTCCTTTCTAGTTTCTACACATGGCCCGACATTGGTTGGTTCCAGTCTTAATAATTTACCGCAGTATCTAGCATGGTTTGGCTCCACTGGATAGACTTCAGTAATTTGTTACTCCAACTGGTACCGGTTTGACGCGTCAGATGATCCTATCGTTTCCTTCACATTGCTTCCTCCGTCTCCATACGTCCTTGTTCGGTTTCTCTCTTTCTGTCTGAAAAGAGCCATGAAAATGTATAAACATGATAGTCTTAAAGTATGTATGTATTTTCTAGTGTGCTCGTGCTGTTTTGACCGTTTCACTTGCCGGTTTACAACATGTAATTTTCGGTGAGAAAGCGAGCCTAGCTCACTTTGGGAGATGTAATAGAAATTGGTATTGTTGGAATTTTGCTAGTAGGCCTTTGGCCCAAAGCCCAACTAAAATTCTGAAATTCTCTTGGCCCATTCATGCACACATGTGAGTGGAGTGAGTTAGGGCCGTATCCGCGAAGATGGGGGCCCTGTGCCAAATCAAAAATTAGGCCCTTGATAAAATCGTTGGCAATTAGGAAAACACGATTTTGGCAGAAAGTGATTCATATAAAAATATGATTCTCAAAACAAAATTAGTATAATAGGGGATGTATCAAAGCAAACTTCATGTATGGATCTTGTTGCTGCGTAGTTGAAGTACATCTTATAAGAAAGCTATTCTCAGAACCCGGAAATACTAGATTATTTATCATAAAACATGACATCTTTCTTCTCGCAAAAAAAAAACCTTGTCATCCTTCTAGCATTCTTTTGATATTCTTCGTACGCAATGTTATTCAAAGTGTCATTTGACTCTTTTGCTAAAAACACTTATCATAAAATGGCATCTTTTTGAGATTCGGTTCTTAGTTCGCTATAAACTTATGATGTATTAAAAATAGAACATATAAACAAAAGACCATTCGGCATGAGAACTATGTCAGAAACAATGAACATAGAAACAAAAACGGATGAAATGAACTTTGATTTATTTGGGAAGAAGACCATGTGCGGCCGGCGGTAACGAGTCTGATAGTCTGGTTGAAGATCTCATCGGGCAGACACCTCTGTCTGGACTCCGACTCCAATTGGTGCATCCAGGTCACAGGCTCACCGCGAAGGAAGCAAGCAACAATGGAATCTAAAGAAGCAGAGAAGACATGAGAAATTGAGAAGAAACCACCGAATAATTAGGTGGACCGAGGGTGTAGCGTGCCTATACATTCCAACGGATAAGCTGCGAAGGAATTAATCCAAGAGAGCTGCGACGGAGGTATGGATTTACACGGCTCGTTGGAAGTTATAAAGAGAGCAAAGAGAAAGAAAGGGAGAATATGAAGTTGGAGAGGCGTGCATGAGATGGAGTAACTACGGTGCAGGTTCCAACCAGTCAAATGCATTGCTTAATCATTAATAGTAGTAGCAGTAAACAAATTGGGGGCCCTGTGCAGTCGAACATGCTGCACAGGTGTCCCGTACGGGCCTGGAGTGAGTGAGGCTAAAGTTTAGTCCCACCCCGGAAGTTGAGAGAGAGTTGCACCTCTTTATAAGGTGAGCTCTTCTACCACTTGTATGAGCATGAGAAGAGGAGACCTGCACGTGCGCTCCTCCTCCTCGCTCGCCTCGCCACGCCTCGCCTCGTCACGACGCGGGTTGCGGGATTGAGCCGAGCCGAGGACAGAGCTACAAGTCTTCTCCATCCCTCCTTTCGGCGTGCACCGGGAGAAGGGACAGCAGACCTCCGGAACCCCGCCTCTCGTGATCCTGTACGGGAGAGGGGTGATCAGGTTTTTGGGGAGCACACTCGCGCGACTGCTAGCAGCAACGACTTCGCGAGCGACGACTTCTTCCCCGACCTCGGCAACCTCATCCTCGACGACATGGGCGGCAACATCAACGCCGGTGGTGCTGCTCCCGCTGCACCGTATGTGATTCTATCCTTCCTGTTCGAGATCGTGATAGAATTCATGTTTTTAGTGTGTGCCCTAGATGTGATCTGTTCATCTGCTATGCTAGTTCGCATGATTAGTTTAATCTCTGCTACTGTAGTCATGATCTATTTCCTATTTATTCGGATTAAATCTCGTAGTAATTTGCTCATATTTCCATCAATCCAAAAACCTGATTATAGGCAATTTACTCCGAGTGGTTTTGCTGCGCATCTGAAGCCGCCTGCCTTTAAGGGGGCGCAATATAAGAGGTGGCGCACGAGAGCAGTCTACTGGTTTCAGACCATGGGCTGCTATGACGCCACCAAGGGCAAGCCTGAGGGTGATCTTAATCCAGCACAGCTGGAAGCTTTCGAGAAGATTGATACCCTCTTTAAAGGCGCTCTTCTAAGTGTTCTTGATGACTCCATTGTGGATTCATATATGTCGTTTGAGAACGACAAGGACATGTGGGCTGCGCTCGAGGCCAAGTTTGGTGCCTCGGACGCCGGCAGCGAGTTGTACGTCATGGAGCAATTCTATGACTACAAGATGACTGATGAGCGCCCTGTTGTACAGCAGGCTCATGAGATACAGTCGCTCGCAAAAGAACTTGAGTACTTCAAGTGTGTGTTACCAGAAAAATTTGTTGCCGGAGGCATCATTGCCAAGCTTCCACCTTCGTGGAACAATTTTGCTACTTCCCTGAAACACAAGAGATAGGAGTTTTCCGTTGCGGATCTCATTGGTACTCTTGATGTTGAAGAGAAGGCGAGAGCAAAGGACACACGTGCTCGAGTTGCTGAGAGAGGTTCTAGTGCCCACATGGTACAGAAGAAGAACTCCCAGCCCAACAAGTTCAAAAGCAATAAGGACAAAACTCAGGGCAAAGGCAAGTTTGATACAAAGAACAAGCCATCGCATTCTACCAACTTCAAGAAGAATTCTCATAAGAAGGGGAAGGGACTTTGCCATGTCTGCGGTGATCCTAATCACTGGGCTCCGAAGTGTCCTAACCGCTTTGAGGAGCACAAACATGAGAAGAGTGGCAAGTCCGCTAATGTTGTCATCAGTGATATTGATATGAAGGAATCAGGGTACAATATTTTTCCTACCATCCTTTCAGTATTTCAATCCCCTGATTGGTTAATTGACACCGGTGCCAATGTACATGTTTGTGCTGATGCCTCCATGTTTTCTTCTTACCAGGCAACAGGGACTTCACCCGTGCTGATGGGGAACGGGTCACATGCCATCGTTCGAGGTGTTGGTACCGTCGATCTGAAGTTTACTTCGGGGAAGACTGTGCGTCTGAAGAACGTTCATCATGTGCCGTCCATAAATAAAAATCTCGTTAGCGGTTCCCGTTTATGTCGAGATGGTTTTAAGTTGGTTTTCGAATCCAATAAAGTTGTAATTTCTAAGTATGGACAATTTGTTGGAAAAGGCTATGAGAGCGGAGTCTTGTTCCGCCTGTCTTTGTCAGATATTTGCACTAAAGTTATTAATAATGTTTGCCACAACAATGAGTCTGATATTTGGCATTCATGACTTTGTCACATTAACTTTGGTTGCATGACGCGACTAGCCAATATGAATTTAATTCCGAAAATCTCTACTATCAAAGGCTCTAAGTGCCAAGTATGTGTGCAAGCTAAGCAACCTCGCAAGTCCCATAAGACTGCAGAGGCAAGAGACTTGGTGCCACTAGAGCTTATACACTCTGATCTTTGTGAGATGAATGGTGTGTTGACAAAAGGTGGAGAGAGATACTTCATGACGTTGATTGATGACTCCACTAGATATTGTTATGTGTATCTCCTGAAATCAAAAGATGAGGCTTTAACTTTCTTCAAAAACTATAAAGCTGAGGCAGAGAACCAACTTGATTGAAAAATTAAATGGCTTAGGTCCGATCATGGTGGAGAGTATTTTTTCCAATGAATTTGATATGTTTTGTGCGGAACATGGTATAATCCATGAGAGGACGCCTCCCTACTCACCTCAGTCAAATGGGGTAGCCGAAAGAAAGAACCGAACTCTAACTGATATGGTTAACACCATGTTAGACACATCGGGTCTTTCCAAGGAATGGCGGGGGGAGGCGCTAATGACTGCGTGTCATGTCCTAAACCGAGTTCCCACAAAGCATAAGACCATGACTCCGTTTGAGGAATGGGAAAGGAAAAGATCGAAACTCTCTTACCTACGTACTTGGGGTTGTTTGGTGAAAGTCAATATACCAATTTCCAAGAAGCGCAAGCTTGGACCAAAAACCGTGGATTGTGTTCTTCTGGGCTATGCTTTTCATAGCATTGGCTATAGATTTTTGATAATAAAATTTGAGGTATCCGACATGCATGTTGGTACGATTTTGGAGTCGAATGATGCAACTTTCTTTGAGGATATATTTCCTATGAAGGATATGTCAAGTTCATCAAATCAGGAGATACCTACTCCATCTAGTGAGGAATTCACTATAATTCCTGAACCCACCATTGCGATGGAACACGTTGAGAATCCTGTTGAGGGTGACAATGGAACTCCTATGAGGAGTAAGAGACAGAGGACTGCAAAGTCCTTTGGTGATGATTTCATTGTGTACCTCGTGGATGACACACCCAGGACTATTTCAGAAGCCTATGCATCTCCTGATGCAGACTACTGGAAGGAA